GTAAAAACACGTCATTAACAAGTAACAACTACTAACACATGCAAAAAAATTGTGTGTAAAATTAAATTTTGCAGGCAAGAACAAGGGCTTTAGGGTTGAGAGAAGACGCGATGGTCTGTCTACAATTCGCGGTGGACATCAGGAAGAGGACAGAGCCACCGCTACCAGAAGGATATTCCGGCAACGCCTACGTGCTTGCCTCGGTGGCGTCCACTGCCAGGGAATTACTCGAAGACCTAACTCTCGAGTCAATAGTCAACAAGATTAGAGAAGCCAAGAAATCAATTGATCAAGACTACATCAACGCTTATATGGAGGCACTTGGAGGTGGTGATCAAAGAAATGATGGAAATCTCCCTCCTCTCAAAGAGCTAACCCTAATCTCCGACTGGACAAAAATGTCATTTCACAGTATTGGTTTTGGTAACGGCGGCGAACCGGCGGATTGCGTGGCACCATTGTGTCCTCCGGTGCCACAAATTGCTTATTTCATGAAGAACCCTAAAGATGCTAAAGGAGTTATTGTGAGGATTGGTTTGGACCCACGAGATGTGGATGATTTTTCAAATAATTTCCTTGGTTACTAGCTAGCTAATAGGATGATGAAAATGTGTGATGGTTAATTAATTAGTAGAATCTTTGTTAATTACTTATCTTAATATTGTGTTAATATATAATATATGATGGCTCCTCCATATGCATGCGTGTGCGCTAAAGACACTTTATTGTAATTGGGTTATGATGATTGTATAATGACATATCTTTACTTTGTATTTGTCACTTTGTTTTCGGAGTAGTCTTTATTTCCTTCCGGAATTTCTGGATAAATATCTAAAGTTATATGTATCTCTTTATAGACTTTTTACTTAGGTCACCAATTGCCTTGTTAGATGGGTGCTTAACATTCCACACTTGACACAAGAGCCTATTGGGCACATCATGGGTTCGATTTATTCTCACTACAAGAAAACATACATTTAGCGTCAGCGTAATTCGACGCTAAAACCCCATAGCGTCGAATTAGCGTCGAAAACCCTCGACGCTAATTAATTTTCGACGCTAAAACGACGCTAATTTTGCAACAAATCGACGCTAAATCGATGCTAAATAGTGTTTCGATGCAACAAAACGACGCTAAATCGATGCTAAATAGTGTTTCGATGCAACAAAACGACGCTAAATCGATGCTATTTAGCGTCGAATTAGCGTCGTCGCTTTCGACGAGTTCGACGCTAATTCGACGCTAAATAGCATCGATTTAGCGTC